TCGAAGCACTGTGTTCAGTAATCTGGCATTTTTTATTTATTATTTTAATCTGCCAATAGACTTAGAAAAGATGAAGTAAGAGGCTGTAAGGTTGCAGAACTCTAATCAGTTAAAAATAAATAAAATAAAAGAACGAAAGTATTTATCTTTTTTTTTTTTCTTTCTTTCTTTTTTTTTCCTGATACAAAGTAGATTGCCTTTGCTGATTTTGTATCTTACCTGTAGAAGCTACACAGCCAGAATTCAGATTATGGAAATGACTCCTTCACTCTGGAGTCGCTAGTGGGCGCTATCACAATAATGTAAGTCACAGAGAGGCTCTCCATGAATTTCAACAGTTAACACCTGCTGTGGTAGAAGAAAAGTCAGATGTCCTCCATGTATAAACTCGCAGCCACATACACAGTGCAAAATCATCCCTCTGTGAACTGCTGTGGGATTTGTGATCTAATTAATTCAGTAAGATATGAGGGCTCTTTGTTTTGGTCTGCACAGACAGTAATTATAGATGAACTTGCATTTCAGGTTAAAATAAATCATTTCAAGAGTTGTGTGATGTTTCATGGAATATTACAGATGCTCATTTTCTACTCAGTTAAACCTCGACATGAAGTACTTGGAACTCTGCCCTAAAGAAACAGCTGAGAATTTCTCTTAGCAGAGACTGGCATAAAGTTTTTACTATCGGAGAGAGCAAAGGTTACAGGAAATTGTTGAGTGCTTCATTGTGTCTTCGCCTAGGTAGCCCATAAAAGTTTGACTAGAGCAAGGCTGAACAAAGAACAGATAGGCAGAATCATCTTTTCACCTTATTACTTCTGCAATTGTTCTGAGTGCAGCAAAGGACAGAAACCTGAGTGCCTGTCATCTGTTGTTATTGCAGAGGACTTCAGAATTAATTTACAGTTAGATCCATAGCTGGAATAAGCTAAGAACTTTGATAGACCAGTAATTAAGTGCCTGATTTCATTTTGTCTATGTTGCAGTAAATTAATAGTAACTCTCTTGATGCTAAAGAAATTGAAGTGTGAAAAGTAAATTTGACCCTAAGTGCTGTGCATATTGATTTGCTTGTCCATCAACAAAAACAAGTAAATGCAGATAAATTATTAATTGGGAAATGATTTCTACCTCTTTATATATGTGTTCAAGGGTTGATTGTTCAAGATGCTATTGATGCCTCTGTTCTCAATTTTCTCATAGTGAAATTCTCTTTAGGGTTACCCGTAATAACACAGGAATTATATTTAAGCTCATAAAATTTTGCTTAATTTTATTGTAGTAATCATATTGCTTAAAATAATAAGCTTTCAGTATGAGGAAAGAATAAAAATCAAAATAACTTGTATAAGATTCTTTGGGGATACGATTGCAGTGAAACTGTATATTTGAACAGTTCCCTCGGTCATCTTTTCAGGGAGGATGGAGGATTTCTCCAGGAAATGTAATTAGTGTGCTTAGTCTATCAGGTCTCTGCTCAGCCATCTTTTAGCTTAGAATGTGATCAGCTGCCTAACTACCCTCAAGGCAGTTACCCTCTTTGAATGGCATATCCTGTCATATCCAGTGGAAGGATGATAGGCAATGGACATGAACTGAAATGTGAGAACTTCCATTTAAACATAAGAAAACAACCTCCTTGCTGTTCGTGTGGTCAAACATTAGCTGCATAGAAAGATTGTGAAGCCTCCATCCATGGAGGTAGTTGAAATCTCACTGGATGTGACCCTAAGAACCTGCTTTAGCTGAACTTGCTTTGGTTAGGGTAGATGGATCAGACAACCTCAGAGGTTTCTTTTGATCTCAGCCTGTGATTTTTAGGACTGTGAGGGCAAGAATAAGCCCACAGAAACAGATCTCTATAGTAAAAATTAAAATCTGTAGTGTTTAGCAGTTTCACTTGCCTGTGTCAGTGTAAATTACAGGTTGTTTTGCTGCATTGTGGAAGCCCACAGAAGGCATTCAGATCACATGCTTTGAAGTCCTAAATCTAATACTACGTAAATGAAGAAGGTTTTTTGGTGCAATTAGTAACAACAATTGAAAGCCCCAAGTAAATTGACTTCCACTGCAGTACAGCAAAACATGTGAAGACTGATCATTAATTCAGGAGCAATTTCACTTGGCATCTGGCCCCTTCTTCCCCTTGGATACCATGGTGTGGAAGGATTCGATTGGTTTCATAACTTGCTATTGGGCCCTGGGAGCCCTCCGTTGTGATTATCTGCTATTACTGTTGAACTAGAATTATAAAGGAGATCATCAGCTTTATTTCATTCTTTACCCTGCAAGCTATATAGATAAATACAACTGTAGACAGAGGAGAACAAACAGCTGTTCTTTGGAGTGAAGAAGATAAAGATGTCCCTGCTGCCTTCTATTTCCCATATATCCTGTATGAAAATTGTTTAATCTATAGACTTAAAGCTGTGGACAGTGCCAGTAAACCTGGCCAGAAGTCTCGGCAATATATACTGTAGAATTAAAATTATGAGTTAAGATTAGATACATTTTGTATCACAAGCTCATTCCAAACCCCCAGACTCTATTTGTGCGTATGCAGCTGCATAAGCAACTAGGTTATAAAAAGACATGTAATTGTATATGCTGTAACAGTCTGAGGCAGGGCTGGCATTTGGTCTAGATATAGACAGGCTCTGTGCATATAGACTTAGTATGTAAAATTCAGAATAATAAGCATCTGTGCTTTTGAATAGCAGATTACTATTTCTGTTTAAATGCTAACACATTAACAATAAGCAAAAGTTTTTTTTAAGTGATGAAATGTTACATTGAGGTACAGGAATGTTGTGATATTGTACTAAGATATGCCCTGTCATTCATCCTTCAGACTGTTTACAAATTAGACAGTATCATCTTCAGTGTCACAGAACAAACAACTGGAAAACATAAGCAGTAGTGATATTCTGTAATTAGAGACTAATTAACCTGAACTGATCTGCTGTTCTTCCATAGTAGCAAGGGATTGCAGTATCGATAAGCCAACTCTTCACAAAAATAAAAAAAAAAAAGTATTGAAATATTCTACAGTTGTCTGAATCCTATTTCATTATTATCACTTTCTATTACTAGAAATTAATATTACATGAACCTATTAATATTGCAATTCATATTACAAGACCATTTCTCTTCAATGTTTTATCTTTTTAAAGATTTGGATTTCATTTGGGAATACTCACTGACACAACTGTAGGACTACCTTTGTGTAAATACTTTACAATTTACAGATGTCTAGGTACAATAATAATTAAACAAGGCTAACCTAAAGCAGAAAAATGTTTTTAGATTTGGCTGGAATCAGGAAGATGTTCATTGTGACACTGTGTATTGAATGCTCTAGCGATGAGTGGTAAATCCGGCATTTTACTCCTGCTGAATTTGACACTGGAGGAAGCAGAGGTAGACTCTCCATTACAAAGGGTTTCTTTCACTTTGCAACATCTGAGTGCTATCAGAATCGTATCAATGTATCAGAAATTACTGATGGATCTGAAACGTATGGAAAATCCTATATTTTTTATTACGTACATTAATTATATGAATGTTATTATTTTATAAAAAGATTTATGTAAGTGAAACTGAGATTAGACTATGTCCTACAGTGTTTTTGTTTTTTTTTTTGTTTTGTGAATAATGAGACTGGGCATGTGGTCCACTAACTAGCTCAGCATCTTCCTTGATGCAAGAGTGTGTTTAACTTTCTTTGCTATCAGTGGATCCACTAGCAAGCATAGGGCTGGACAAAACTACAGTTTAAGCGCTATGTTTAAAACCAGGAGCACTGCTAGGTACAGAACATCTTCAAGTATCTTCTCAAGTTCACTGATCACAGCCTAAGAGATTAATCTTTTCTGATCATTATTCTTACTCTTCCTTTCTTTCTTCCTTTCTTTCTTCCTTTCTTTCTTCCTTTCTTTCTTCCTTTCTTTCTTTGATCCTTTGCCAGTGGTAAAGCTGAGTGATGATCGCATTGCAGATTGTCAGAAAATGTAGCAGATCAAATATTTTAGGCATCAGTGCACCTATATAGTATCTGTGCTTTCTTCTTTCTAGTGAAGTCTGTATAGAGCCCTAAAGAGATTTGTTGAATTTCTTCTTAGTGATTTTTGATTTAAGTATCTAAATGATTTCACTCTGCTGCTTTAGAATTGAAATGAATCTGTCATTCTTCTGCTGAAATATTCATGCTTAAAATAAAAACAAATGTTATTAAATAGATCAACTTTCTTAATCTTAGCTTACTTTAAAGATCATTTGTTTCATGTTGTGGTTTACAAAGAAAAAACATTTTCAGAGTATAAAAGCCAGATTCTGCATTTCTGATCATATTTCAGGAATGACTTTATTTATAAAAAAATTTTGCTAGTGCTGTACTGGATAACACAGCATTGAATGAGGTGCATTAGTATGACAGAGACATTTGTGACATGGGAAACATCTGTAGGTAAAGAGTGTTGTTTTCAAAGATGTATTAGAAGTGGCAATATTTTTCTTTGGAAATTAATGCTTGCCTGTATTTTGCAGTTTTTAAAACATTTCCCCAAAAGAGTTTTTAAAAGCATCCAAGAGAAAGATACCAGTTTACATCAGCAGAATTACAAGCCTAAGATTGCAAAACACTGAACTAGATCAAAACTTTCCAGCTTGAATAATGATAGAAACAAATGTGTAGAGCAGACTAGATATTACAGTCATTGACAGTAGAGCAACTTCAGTAAAGATTACAAAGCTGAATTTATTTCTCATTTTAAATCTATTTCTTTTATTTATTCATTTTTGAAGGTTATGAGGATTATGATCACATTTACAGCTCTGCATCGCTATCTACTTGGAGATGATGGTGACACCTTAGAGAAAACGTGCAAACTCCTGATTAACCAGCATTCTACTCTGTTTATCCAAAAAAATTGATAACTGCTTTTGACCAACTCAATTTTGTTCAATCATGTTGTCTCTACCAGCCTAAATCATTTCCTAAAATGGTCCTTTTGCTGTTCCTTGCAATCCTATTATTGAAGGAAGATGTCTGTGGGAACTTCAGGCTTTTGGTTTCTGCACAGGCCAATGAAAGAAGGGTGGTTGCACACATGCCTGGTGATATTATCATTGGAGCTCTGTTTTCTGTCCACCACCAACCAACAGTTGACAAAGTTCATGAGAGGAAATGTGGAGAGGTAAGAGAGCAGTATGGCATTCAGAGAGTGGAGGCAATGCTACATACCCTTGACAGAATTAATTTGGACCCAACACTGTTGCCAAATATAACACTAGGATGTGAAATAAGGGACTCTTGCTGGCATTCTGCTGTGGCTCTGGAGCAAAGCATTGAGTTTATAAGGGACTCTCTTATTTCATCAGAAGAAGAGGAAGGGATGGTGCGATGTGTAGATGGATCTTCATCATCTTTCCACTCCAAGAAACCCATTGTTGGTGTCATTGGCCCTGGCTCTAGCTCAGTTGCTATCCAGGTCCAGAACTTATTGCAGCTTTTCAATATACCTCAGATTGCTTATTCTGCCACAAGCATGGACTTAAGCGACAAAACTCTGTTCAAGTATTTTATGAGAGTTGTACCATCTGATGCACAGCAAGCACGGGCTATGGTGGACATTGTCAAGCGCTATAACTGGACCTATGTTTCAGCTGTACACACTGAAGGTAAGAGGCTTTTTCTTCCCATATTTGGATGCCTATGAACCACTTTGTTGTGGTCAGAGAGCTACATGATGACAATTGGATGGATATTTTTTGTCAGTCAATTATCAAGTGCATAGACTTTTATTTCACTTAATTTTGGTTAAGTACCAAGCTGAGGTAGCGCTGTTTTGATAACCACTGAAAACACTTTGAAATACAGGATTGTGTGAGTTAAAGGAGAAATTGTGTGCTTACTCTTGAGTTTCCTATTTTTTTTAATCTTAATTTAATTAATTTATTTTACTTCAATCATTCGATATATTTATGTGGAATAATAATTTTGACTATATTGATAACAGTGGGTAACAAGAAAGTGCTTGGTCTTTCTAGTGTTGAAGAAAGCTAAATCATCCTTTGAAACAGTAGCTAAACCAATGATTACTACTAGAGCCACAGAGGCTTGACTGCTAAAAGACCTGTGGTTCTGGTTAATATCCGAATGCAATTCGTCCTAGCTTCTTGAGATCAGTACTGTTTCTGTCCATTTTATAGTACTCCTTGGAGTATTGCAGCCACTCCTTGCTCTGTGTCTAGCCATTGGATTTAGAAATGAGCAAAAGAATTCTCCTTGTGTCTTCTTCACACACCATCAGGTTTCCAGAAAATCAGAACTATGTACTGTATTTCTTTTCTCTCTTTATTAATTTCAGCTAGAGCTTGATTTTATTTGCCTAGCACTCAGAAGAGTACAATTAAAAGGAAATGCTATGGAAAAGATTACATGAATTCTTTCTTCCTTGTGGTTGAGTGGTTTTATCTAGCCGTGAGTGACTACAATTTCATACTGCCTAAAGAGAAAGTTTCACTAGTCCCTGTTTAATGGCATCACAGTGTAATATGTTTTCTGAATTAGCTTGTGTGATGGATTTTAGGTTCTCACCTTTGTTCAGACAGGTTCAGAATATGATCTGGGGAAAAAAAAAACACCACGTTATTAAGAGATTGAGTACTGGTGACAGCGTTGCTGAACAGCAGCAGATGCTGCTGGCTTTATTACAACCAATAGAAAGCAGATTGTCCTTCCCACACACGGAGTATGCTTCTCTGGCAGAATTTATACTATTCAAAGCCCTTTTTGGTAGAACGCTGGTTGAATGCAAGTATGCAGAAATTATTATACTCCTACAGATACGTAGTGAGCTCATTCTCCAGTGTTAAAAAAAAATGCAATTTAGAACTTAGATGAAGATTGTTGTAATCATTATTCCATCATGATAATGAAGATTGGTAAATAACTTCAGTCTCTATTCTCTGGGGATGCATGAGTATATTAGCAGTTTAAATAATAATGTATAAATCACTCTATGTCATATCATGTAGTGAAACTACTCTGTGCCTGCTGATGCCTTTGGCATGGTTTGGTGTGCAGCCTTTCCTCTGCAAACGTGTATGCATAATATCACAATAAAAAATGATGCCGGTGATGCATTACATTAGTTTGAGATTGTATATCCTGACTACTTATGAAAACTTGTGTAGTTTTCCTATATATATCTTCTGCTTATTGAGCAGAGATGCTTACGTATTCAGTGGAGAATTGTCAAGCTTTTGTCAAGGTCTGAATGCATAGGGTGAAAATACTCACTTTTGCCACTTCCCGTGGATACTCTTCTTAGAGCAGATGGTAGCATATGGCATGTTAATCTCATGGTAAAGTAACCTTGCTCTGTGCTTTGGAAAAAAGGGAATAGACATGCAAGGATCAAAACTGGAGGTGGCTGCTGTGGGCAAGATGAGTTGAGTGTGAAGAAGAGCTGATGAATGACTTTACTTCAGTAGGATTTGCCTACTTCTACCCACATCTAAGTGGACAAGATAGGTGGTACAGTTAATACCTGAGGCCTCATACAATTCGTGCTGTATTTACAGCAGTATAACTCTGGACTTTGGTGAATGAACATTACCTTTGGGTTACAGGAATCTTGTACTCTATTTACATGGTCTGGTCATGATGGTGAGTACAATCTGCAATCAAATAGCATCATACAGGTGTTTTGTAACAGTAGAACAGATGGTATGTATAATGGGATAGACAAACACAAGCTAATGAAGGTACTTCTCTGAAAGCTGATGTTTTGGGCACTTTTTAAATGTTATGGCAGATGTTGTCCCTTCCAAGAACAAAAAGATTATAAAAAAAAAAAAAAAAAAATCACCATAAAATAAAAAAAAGATTGCTATGCTGAAGTAAGGAAATTCAGTAAGCAAGCAAAAGAGATATGAATATTATGGATTACTTTAAGTTTTGAATTAATTTCCTTTCAATAGAATAATTGTTTACTTATAAATATCCTGAATAGTGCCTCTATACTTAGTGCCCTACATTCATATTCACTAATTCAAAACAGGAAAAAAATAGATTCCTGTTCCTTTTATCTTGCTCTCCCATTTACACTGGAATTTAATTCAGTACCTCCAATAATTCTGTAGTCTACACTCAATATCTTTAGCTAATCTTTGTGCTGTAGACAGATTACTCCAACATGAGATTTCTGGTTTCTGGGAAGGATGCCCCATCCCTGAGACAAGCAAGGTCAGGTTGGATAGGGCTCTGGGCACCTGATGAAGCTATAGATGTCCTTGTTCATTGCAAGGGATTTGGACTGGATGTCATTTAAAGGTCCTTTTAAACTCAAACAGTTCTATGATTCTGTGGTTTCCAAGGATAGGGAGGGTCTTAACATTCATAGCTAGATTGGGAAAAAAGAAAAAGCTGAAAATTCTTGGTTATTTCATTGCTTTGGTAGTTCCATCATCAGACAATATTATAGGTCTCTTTTCGTTCCAGTGTAATAAATGCCTGGGAATAATTTTATCACAAAAATCTTTCTGTTTGCATGTTTCTTTGTGTACTTACCAATCACGCTAAATGAGTTGGATTAAAATTTTGGGAGGTTGAGCAGAAAATGTTGTTAAATATTAATTCTAGGTTTTCACATTTAAAATATGCAAACACTTTGAGAGATGCTAATAGGCTTTGCTCCTTTGAAATTTACCTTTATGGTTTAATCAAGTGATGCGTCCAGTTGTGCAAGTAGCCACTCACAGTAATACAGTAATGTTTTTTCCTACTAATGGGAAGGTGGCAAACATTATTTTCAGTGATTACTAATAATTTTAAGTAGGAAATTTCTCCAATCTAATTAACAAGAAATATGAGTAACAAATGACGGATATTTGTCATAAAACAACAGTCATTTCCACTCACATGTGTAAATATAGCAGTGTATTTTACATAAGCCAGTCAGAAATCTTCACAAGTCTCAGTCAGTTCCAGATTGTAAGTCCTGATGCTTAGCTCTATCAGGAATGATATGACTCAGAAACATCAGTTGTATCAACTCAGTTTCCAACTCTTCCTTGCTTTTAATGATTTGTGGAGTTCTACTCTGAACCAGTCTGGGTTTGAAGTAAACCTCCTTCACTCATCATCAGGACACTTTTTTTTGAAAAGCCACATCATTTATAGAATCCAACTTATGTTGTGGCTCAGTGAACAGATGTGTTAACACTGTGGGTCAGGGGAGCAGGAGTGAGCAGGCCAAGAGGAAAAATATGGTTGGAAACTCTTTGTGCTGCAACCTATCCCTTAAAGCCTGAAGCAAGTTTATTTTACTTTATATATTGCTATAGCACATAGGGTGTGCCAGAGACCATTTTATTTGTTGTTTCCATGTTGATCTAATTCTTTCAGCTGACTTCACTGTTTGCTTTTTTTTTTTTTTTTTCCAACCACTGTAACAGGAAGTGGATTTAAAGCAACTTTTCTTAAAACAACTTTCACTGCTTAAACTAACATTGCTGATAGACGTTAAGTTGATAATGCTGCCAAGACTCTCTCGTCCTCTCTTATGCATCTCTCTGAAGCAAAGCAGCTCAGCAGAGATAAGCCCTGCAGCTTTGTCCCCCAGTTTTTCAAAGTACATGATGGATTCTTCTTAGCTTTATCTTCTGTCTACATCTGAGGAAATTAATACTTGTGCAGGAGAGGCCCCTGTCAGGATTTTGGGTGGCCATGCATATGCAAATGACCCGTGAAGCTCAAGCAACCGGTTTTGCCTCAGCCTTTTCTTCCTTCACCATTTCAAGCTACAACAAAGTGGAAAGGACTGGGGAAAATGGGGAGAATCTGGCTGTCTGCCACAAGAGATGAAGGATGCTGCACCTCATTTCACATATGAAAGCATTTTCTGGTCTTTCCCTGAGACCCAAAGATCAGAGAAAAATGTATGTGATTTTCTTCACCATCACTGAGATGAGAAGGCTTCGTTAAAGTTGTGTTTGAAGCTCTCACATTGACTACAGTGACATTGGTATCAGGCCTTCCTAGCCAGAAACAAAGTCAGTCCCTGTAAGTCTCTGCATAAAATTTGCTTGGAGCCAAATGAATTGATAATATGAATGACAGTTTTCATTGCTATTGGAAACCATTTCTTTGCCTCTCTGAATGAAGTGAAGAGGTTATATATGCTGGCAAAACACAAACTCACAAAAGTACAAATTTATTGAGGGTGGCAAGAGATAAATTTCAATTCATTATGTGAAAGGTGTGATTTACTTCTGAACACAGCCTGAAGAAGCAAACTGCTCTGAAAGCAGAAAATGTTAACATTTTCTTTACAGAGCTCTACAGGCAAGCATTGGCTCAAACTCATCCTCAAAATACTTTCTTTTTAATAACATTTTCCTCCATTTAAATTTATTATAAAAGCTTATACACAGGTAATTCACCTTCTTTTTCTTAGGATACACTCTAGCAAGTATAACAGAAAAAGAACTCTTTTTTTGTGCACATAAGTGTTATTTCACACATTTACTTTTGTATTTGTTCAAACATGCTTGGTTACAAGACTATTTTTGCCTATATCCTTTGCAACCGGGTAAAGAGCAAACTGAAAATTAGTCATAATGTGTGGGAATAAGATGAAACGAATGAAGGAACTGCAATAAGTGTACGTTAA